GTCCATAAAATGAAAATAAACAGTAAACTTATCTCCTTCCCTCTAATGTTATTTAAGGAAAGTCTGCATAAAATTGCTGTGAGCAGGATATATACAACACATTTTATTTCAAAGGGCTGAAATAATGCCATATAAGTTAGAAAACTCTCCATTTTCCAGGGACAAATTATTCAGTTTGTTCTTTCAGCCTATTTGTCATACCTTTTTTTCTATTTTATTGGTCAAAAATATCAGGAATTAAATCTTATTTCCAACTTTTCAATGACATTAGTAATACAGCGGGAGTTTTACTGGGGGACCGTTTACAGGAAATCTGATGACTCCCAATGAATTTCCCAGTATTTTCTACATGCCCACAAGCATGTCTTCCCTGGAAAGTACCAACAGGATTCCAATTATCAGATCTGTTGGCTTCCTTTTATCCCTGATCCTCTTGACTTACTACCACAACCCTGTTTCCTGAAAGCTCTTTACCAAGTCTCTAAGACAAAATATTCCTGGGTTCTGTCCTCCTAAGGTAATGGGTCACAACTTTCTCAAATGCAACACCACCATTTTATAGAAACTGTTTTGTAATACTAGTTTCACTAACCTGAATTGAAATAATAATATAGCCCATCTATAAATATATGACCCCAAAGCGTTTGAAATACGTGTAACCCGAACCAAGCTCTTTAAAAACAACTGTACAGATAATATAAGTTTTCATGTCATTGGCTCTCCACCTCCTTGCTAAACCTGCTCCAGCTGTTATGACTCTAGTAATATGTCAAGATAAAAAATATGTGTGTGTGTAATCATATGTACATATATATGTATACACATACACATATATACGAGTATATAACATCTGTGTGTATATTTTTTACCTTTAAACATTTCTAGCCCAATTTCAGTTACAATCCCCTTAATCTGCATGGGGTGGGTACAAATAAATATAATCTTAGCCTACAGTATTAGCACTCTGGTATTATTGTGCTAGGCAGTATCTAATATGGCTCCCAATGATCACAACCTCCTGGTATCCACGTCTTATTAATTACCTCCCTTGAGTGTGGGTGGAACCTAGTAATTTCCTTCAGATGAACAGAATACAATAAAGGTGATGGAATGTCACTTGGTGATTATGTTACTGAAGACTGTGGCCTCCATCTTAGGTCTCTCTCTTGCTAGCACGGATATTGTGAGGTGCTCTAGGGACAGGCCCCCATGGCAAGAAATAGAGGCAGGTCTTCATCCCCGAGCTTGTGAAGAACGGAGGCCTCAGAGAAAGAGCTCGGAGCAACCGAGTCCTTCCAACCCATCTAAGTGAGCTAAGGAAGTACATCATCCACAGAGAGACTTGAGATGACTATGGCCTTGAGAAATGCCTAGAGCCAGAGAAACCACAGAGACTGGGAGATAACAAATGCTGTTTTAAGCCACTAAGTTTGGGGGTAATTTGTTACACAATAATAGCTAATACATTGTTCAAAGGAATTAGTTCATGAAGAAATTTCCAAGGCCATTTTAATTCATAGAGTTGACCCTTTTGTTAAAAAAAAGGGGGTGAACTGTAGCAGAGGTTTGCATCTAGCACCCCATTTGGCTAAGATATGCCTGAATATAACAGCTTACTGCCATTTTCTCTAATGAGTCTTCCAAGTAAGTTAACCAAACCCACAAAAACATATTTGTTTTGCAAACTTACTCAATTTTAAAGAGACATTGTATTTTATGACCTTCCTTTTTTCCCAAGGAATGACTAAGTCTAAACAATAAAAGCCAAAACAATATTGAAAGTAAAAAATATTTAGTCTCATAAACATAACCACTTCAAAAAAGCCTGATTACTCTGAACAGGGTATTATGGCTTTCTATAAACAGATTCAGTGCTTTGTGTTTGGTGTGCGTGCCATGTGATTCATAGCAATGGAAAGTACTGCATGTTTAGTAAATAATTCCCAGTTAAATTCCAAGTAACTGCTCATTGTAGGAAGGAGAGTTTTAAGTCTAGCTTCCTCCAAGCTTATCATTAAAATATATATATATATGTGCTCTGCTACTGGACAACATTTGCCTATTTGTTCTCCAAATGATCACACATACTTGAAGGATAACTCATGTCTAAAAGACACAAAGCAAATGGAGTGCATTTGAGAGCAAAATAATTGGCAGTGGTTGTATCCTACAAATTCAGGCCTTTGGGCACAAAGCTATCCTAGAGTAGTGGGACCTAGTCATATATTCCTTGACGTCTCATTATGAATTTGTCTGAGGTAATTACAAAGAGATTCACAGTCAAGGATGTTTTCTGAGTGTCCTTTACAGTACATACAAAAGCTTTGAAACCCAGTCAGTAGGGAAGGACAATGTATTTAACTCACCAAAAAAGACAGATCTCGTTTGTACTTTGTGACAGATGAATTCACACAGCTTTATCTAATTAAATGTTGTTACCAAAAAGCTTCACTTCATCAGTCCATGTCCTATTTTGGAGTTATACAGAAGGATTTTCATAAATATTTTATCATTTTTTTAATTACAGAACTGCTTTGGCAACGTTCTTCCTTTTTTGTACGCCTTCTGGTACTGCAGTTAGGGGAACACAAGACAAAGGGCATTCAGCGGCAGGAAGAGGGCAATGAGCTCCTCTGCGTTGCCCCTGACCTCTTCAGGGCTTGGTTTTTGTAACTCTGCTGATTGGTGCAGGATCACCTTCTTCCAGCTTTTGGAGGCTTAGTAGAGAGCTGGCCTAGCAGGTCCAACTTGGCTCAAAACAACAAAGGTCAGACACCAAGCAGTAGGCAGCAAAGGCTCCCCCTTTCCAACAAGGCCACCTGTCCAATCAGGGAGTCTTGATGGGTACAGAGTCACTTATACATTCACTACTCCATTCCATAAATGTGGCAGGGGTGTCCAAACTTTTGGTGTCTTTGGGCCACTTTGGAGGAAGAAAAGTTGTCTTGGGCCACACATTAAATACACAAACACTAATGAAAACTGATGAGCAAAGAAAGGTTTTAAGTAAATTGACGACTTTGTGTTGGTCTGCATTCATAGCCATCCTGAGCCACATGAGGCCCATGAGCCACGTTGGATACCCCCGGAGCATAGCAGGGGTAGGAAAATGAATAATTTTATTGTAGATATAAACTCCGCAAGGTTACTAGGGTTAGCAAATAAAAACACAAGGTGCTCAGTTATATTTAAATTTCAGAATAACAACAAAGAATTTTTAGTGCAAGTGTGTTCCATGTAATATTTGAGATACACTTATACTAAAAAATTTTTGTTTACCTGAAATTCAAATTTAACTGGGAATGCTATATTTCACCTGGCAACCAAACTCTCCCCGGAATGTCAGCTACAGTGCTTGATGGCTCTTTTTGCTTAACATAAATCATAGAGAGTTCCAGGGATTGTGTGTGCTCGTCCATTTCTTAGCTTTTGAAGCTTTTGAGATTTTCCTCCATGAACTCTGTTTTATGTCTGCATAAGTGTAGCATTAGTGTGCATCTGTGATCCTTGCGTGGCTCAAAAGAAGGAACTGATTTATTTTTCCCACCATAATAACCTAGAGTACAACCAAAGACAATCTAATGAAGAGAAAATATTCCTAAACTCTGCCAGTTATGTCCTTGGGCAAGTTTATGTAGCTCTAAAGAGGTTCATTTAGGCTCTGGTTGTTCTGACTCCAATAGCCCCTACAGCACTAACATTTTATGATTTCATGACCTTAAATAAACTAAACTTTGCCTTGTTCTTGATGACTAAATGGAGGTCATGATTTCATATTTTGAAGCAGAGGAAACAACCTCAAAAGTTACAAAAAACTGAGGGATTGTCTAAAAGATGATCCTTATATTTAATTAAAATCCATTTGTTTCACAAGAAATGTTACCTTCAGGCTAAAAGGGCACCTTAAATAATTCAGCAACAATAGCTGTTATTCATCCACCATAACTTTAAATACCTGTCATTTCCTGGACAGTCAGTACCAAATAACTTTTATTCCAAAGCATTAAAAAACCAGTTGACTATTTCATTTATTTGACTCCTGTGTGGTACTGCTGAGAAACTATAAAGCATTCTGTAAATTCCATGAAAAGTATCTACTTACAAAGGGCAAATTCACCTTCTCTAAAGATTCTCCAAATAGTTTGATTTATATATCATTTCTCTGCACAAAAAACCTATAATGCTAATTCATTTTACCTTCAGCTTAACTAACTTGCTGCTATTAAAATACAATGACGATGTTTTCTCTAATTGAATTAAATATCATGGCCTCTTGTAATCTGAATGCCAAGCACTGCTTTCAAGTGATTAAAAACTTGTTCACCAACATCTTTAGCATAACATAAGAGAAAAGCAATTCCAAAATATAAAAATGGCTAAGAGCTGCAACATTAAGGTTTCCAGTTAAATATAAAAGTCTGGTTAAATTTGGATTTCAAATTTCAACTTTCAAATTTGGAACACACTTAAAATTATTTATTATCTGAAATTCAAATTTAACTGGGCATTCTGTACTATTATTTGCATATCTGGCAATTCTATGTGGACTATCTACTATGAGGTATTTGCCAATTTTCATCTTTGTTCCCTAATCAAAACACCTGTTTTCATTTTTTAAAAATATTTTATTTATTTTTAGAGAGAAGGGAAGGGAGGGAGAAAGAGGGGGAGAGAAATACCAGTGTGCAAGAGAAACAATGATCAGCTGCCTCCTGCACACCCCCAATCCAGGCATGTGCCCCAACCAGGAACCAAACCAGCAACTTTTTGGTTTGCAAGACAACACCCAACCCACTGAACCACATCAGTCAGGGCTTGTTTTGATTTTTATTTTTCCCCTCAAGTCAACATGTTATATCTACTATAGAACATGAATAGATGAATAATTTTCCAGTCAATTTTTTCTTATTAATATCTCTTTGCTTTTAACAAAGTCAGGTTGCCACTATTAAAACTAGTCTATAGAACATACAATCTGAAGAGACCAACATTGTACCTACCTGTGGGTGATATATGAGAAGGCCACAGAGTAAAATATTTCTTTTTTTCACTTCCTTTGCTAGTTCTCTAATCTGCATTAGATTTTCCATTTTCTGATTGAAAGGTACTGATCTATAATCAAGAAAATGCACCTGCAAAATAATATAAACAATTAGAATATCATTCCTTCACTTTTCTTTGAATGTGTAACATTAAAGAATCTATAATTATAATGTTGCAATTCTTTTTATCAATTTGTGTTAATGTGTAGTTAAACATACCAAGCCATAAATATTTAATGTGATCAATGAATCATCCTTGATAAACACAGATGCATGGAGAATACAGTGCTGAAAAACATAAAGTTTTAATATTCTGTTTCAATCTGTGATGGAGTCAAATACATTAAAAGTATGATTTCCCAATTCATTCAACTTAAATCATAATCTGTATTTTAAAACTAGGCTAGACGTAAATATACGTGTTAAATTAACAATATCGATGAAATTCAAGAGTGCTTATCTAATTAAGTACATAAAATTTTTTAAAAGAATCCATTTCAAAGTAATTAATTGGTTTCTTATAAGTAATAGTCTATTTCTTAAAGTAAATCTAGAGGAATTTTATACAGAATTATTTTAACAGTGTTAAAATAATGTTTTTCCTGAAATTATTGAAACAACTGAAACAACTATTTTTTAAACATTATTTTTCAATTTTAAATTTTAAGGACTCATTATGATCTTTTCTCATTTCTCTAAATAAATGAGGTTTTAAAGTAACTTGTTAATGAAATATAAAAGTCACATACTCTCAAAAAAAACAATTTAAAACACAAATGCACGCATAAACTGAACATTCAGAAATATGTGTATTCTTTCACAATACCAAATTTTAAAAACTCTCAAGAATTGTAATTTGTTCAATTATGTGTGTTTATTAAGCAGAAGAACTTTAAAATATATTCCACCCTGACACTCTTCTACTGATCCCTTCCCTTCCTCTCTGCTTACTTACAGGAATATATACTCTATTAGAAAACAACAAAACCTCTTACCATGTTCTTTCTGTGACACAAGGCAGTATTTTTTTTTTTTACCCATCAAATTATATTTTGCTTTCCAGGGAAAAAATACTTACATAACATTCATTTTTAAAGAGAATTATGTGATAGTATGTCATGTATATTCATTATTTCTTAGAACTGTTCATTAACTATTGTTAATTAAAGACATATACATATAACGGCTTTCTCCTGAAATATAAAGTGACATAAAGACTTTTTCCCTTAAAAATGCTCAATCCATAAAGAAACCAAAAGAATAGACAAAGAAGAAAAGCAAGGAAAAAAGGAAAAGAAAAAGCAAAAAGAAAAGTTTTCTGGTTTTTCATCTACTGAATAACTGAAGAAAATGCCGTATGACCCTATGGTCTTGGGCTTACCTCTTTCTAGCTCAGTTTCCCTGAAAACTTATAATAGTGAAATTTCAGCCTTTTTTTTTTTTTAAACAGGCAGCATTGCTATGGTAAAAGTAACGCCTGACTGTTGAACCGCAGCCAGGCTGGAAGAATTGTAAATGAGCTATAAACTCTAGACCTTCATTCTGTGTCATTTAACTTGTAACCAGGTGTTCCCCTAGCAGGGACCTGGAAGCTAATGCCTATTAGCTGATGCAAAAGATGTTCATTCCTATTTGTAGCTTGAGCCTTCTAAAAGGATGGCTCATACACCACCTGCTGTGGTCCCCTTCCCTCCCCCTTGAGAAACCAAGGTGGGGAAAGGACTTGCAATAAAACAAAACAAAACAGCCCCGAATACTGTGAACTGATGAAATTAAGAGCTAGAGCTGAAGTGACATGTTTACCTGTGCCCTGCTGTTTCCGCCCTATATACTCTTTTACAAAATTGGACAAACCAGCACCACACAGGCTTCTTCCAGGCTTTTGAATTTGATTATCTAAATGAACCTAAAGTTGCTCCTGGTGGGCTTGCTAACATAAAAGCAGGCCAATTCCGCAAACTCAAGGCAGTTTTGGAAACTAGTCATGGTATGGATCCGGCACCAGTGGCCTGGCGGCAGGTAAGATCCTCTCCTGACCCCTACTGCCAGATCACTACATAGCTCCACACCAGCTAGAAGTGGGGACGACACTGCCGTTTGAGGACTTGAGTTCTTTTGACTGTGTAACCATCTGTGCTATATTGATGCCATGAAACACCAGGGGACAGCATGCCCAACATTATTTCACATGGATGCAAAGCCCAGGCGGTGTGCAGTGTACGAGCAGGGTGACCGTCCTGTCAGCCTAGACAGACAGGCATTTATTGTTTAATAGAATAAAAGTTTTCCTGACAAATTTTGAGTTCTGAAAAGAAAAATCTCACACTAAAGTAAGAGAGGAGAGTTTGTGGGAAAAAGAGCACGAGAACAGTAAAGACAAAAATCCCTCTAATTTGTAATTATGGCTGTCACAGAGATTTAAAATGCACAGAAACAAAAGAGTGAAAATAATGGAAACACATTAAAAGGAGAAGGAATGATGGATACGCATACGATAAAATGGGGAATGGGTGTCTTGGCTGTGAAGCTGCTTTTCGGGTTGGCCCAGGAGGAAGTGCAGCCTCTGCCAGGAGCGCGAGGGCCTCTGGGAGGTCAGAGCTGGGGGCAGGTGCTCGCTTTTCATCTTCCTAGGAGTGCCCTAAAAGAGAGCCTGCAACTATGCTTTTTGCTTTAAGTTAACTACATTAAGTATTAATTACAGAAGTAAATAATAATTTTGCAAGCCAAAAAATGGTAGAACTAAAATTCTAGACGAGAATAAATTATATTGGAATGAGAATGTTTACTGGATGATTAAAGTGGGTTGCATTAGAGTTTTGTTTTGGAAAAGGAAAGAAATTAGAAACTTCACAAGTTATAGCTAATTATGCATATTTTAAAGTGATGGTATTCATTTAAGCCATATGCAACTATATTTTACAGTTTCTGAACTTGCAGAGGGAGAAAATGATTATGTGTATTAATGCAGCAATGCTTAAGGGGAAAGTAGCAAATAAAACAATTGGCCAACAGCAACCACAAAATAAAATAAGCCTTTAGAAAGAATCCCAAATATAAAACTAATAAAAATAAATGTAATACATTTAACTCTTTCAGAAGAGGTAGATTTATCATCCTGGATTTTTAAGAGAAATCTAACAATACACTAGTTATAAGATAAATATCTAAAACAACTACCCTGAAAAGTACAAAAGAAAAAGATGAAAAAGACCTTCTACCAAAAATAAATGTTGTAGCAATATGACACAGTAGAGCTTAAGACAAAAACAAACAAAAAAAAACAATAATACAGATAAAAAGGAACAGTACATAATAAAAAACAAAAGTTATAATAATCATAATCTTATTACTAAGAACATAGATTTGTATGTACAAAGTGAAAAAATTGACTGAATTGTAAGAACACGATTTCCAAATTCATAAACATAGAGTGTGTTTTACAATTCTCTTAGAAATTAATATAACAATCAACTGAAAAACGAATGGTATACAGGCTTCTGCCTCCAGTGCAGCAATTGAGTTGAGGGTTTGGGGTTTTTTGTTTTGTTTTGTCTTTTTACCTTTCCTGTCAAGGTTCTAATTATATTCCCGTTTTTCTGCTTATTCTTATCTAGGAAAAGTTGCATATGAACTGATGCTACCTCTACATTATATTGACCTAACTCCCTTATTTATCAATCACATACAACCTAATTTTTCTTAGAAAGACATGCCGTAGCAAAAACACCTAGGTTGAACTGAAGGACATGGTGCTATGGTTTTTAAAAGTTCTCACCAGTCATGAGATGTCTAAACAGGGACTGGAAGACTTTCAGCTCCAGCTACAAATCTGAAAGATACAACATACACTAGCTCCTTGGAAAGAAAAAAGTAATCACACACACACACACACACACACACACACTCTGTAGGCCAACACTGTTCATCAAAGATTCTATGAATTAAATTAAGGAAATGGTGCACAAAAGTGAGTTCCAGGCAAGCTGTTTATACATCGACAAACTGCCTATGTTATCCCATCAAAAAAAGTACTTAAGTTACAGGGACCCCTGGCGGGATATACCCCAGTTAGGCAGAGTGCTGTCTGGATGTGCCAAGCCTGCAGGTTTCATCTCCAGTCTGGGCCCATACAAGAAGCCACCAATAAATACATAAATAAGTGGAACAACAAATCACTCTCTCTCTCTCTCTTTCTTTCTCTCTCTGTTCCTTTCACTAACTCTAAAATCAATCTATTAAAAAGACAATTATAGGGAAACTTAAGTTATTTAGTCACAGAACGCAGAAGATTAATACAGGCTCTTTTCTTGAGTCCTTAGTATGTGCTGAATATTGTGCTACTTGACATAACTAAATTTTAAGGAAACAGGAATGGATATTGACCTTATGAAATGTGTAATCAGGTGGACAAAATACAAGCACAAACAAATAGGACGCACCTCAAGAGTTCTCTTTCACCAGGTGGGGAGGCCTTACGACTTATGAAAAGTGGAAGATAACCTCTAGCAGGTGTACTTCCTAATACCAATACCGCAAAAATTGAGCGGATACTTTTCATTGTGCTACTAACTCAAAGGTCTGAACCATACCAGCTACTTACAAGTTCCAGGAGGAATTTTAGTTGTTACAAGAACACAAGCAATTTTAATTGTTTTAATTTTGAAAACTGGGCAGATCTACATGACTACAGCAGAGAGTTGCAAAAATGATCATAAGAATGCAAAAGAAATGTAAATGTTTTTGCTCTGATAAAACAAGCTTACAGCCTGGACAGGTTTATACCCATTGAAATAAAGCAAAACATTCCATCTAGGTTGAGTTTTTTTAATCTCTTTTTGCACCCTTCACTAATCTGCTATATGTAAACTACAGTAAAAATGGTATTTCCCAATTAGGATGTTATTTCTCACAGTCCTTTTCTAAGCATACATACATAAAGACAGAGATCTCTTCCAACACCCCCAAAATAATCTGTATTTTTTTAAAGGTAGCAAATTCACTCTTATAAATGAGTAAACTGCTTAAACATGTAACACACGGGTAGCTTCATAGCTTTGTGAGTGAGCCAGATTTCCACCCACAGAGTTTGG